ATGTTTTACGTTTTTAAAAAGATGCTTCTAGAAGCACAGACTTTGCAGCTTATCTGTCTTTCTGATTTGAAATATGTTAGTGTTTTGTCGTCATCTTGCTGGTCGTGAATTTGAAACACACAGTTGTTTCATTCATTCCGAAAAGTTTCTGGTTGGAGTTTATAACCCACTCCATGATTCCAGCTTCATTTTTCTTTTCAGAGTGACAGTAAGGATTAAGTTTCTTCCTGAAACATCTTTCATCTCTGAGCTGTCAGCTCGTGCCCTAATTTGGATTCTTAAACATGGAGTGAGGCTAAGATTTTGCCTTTTCATGGGTCATTGTGTTAGAAAACATCATAAGTGCTTAGAATGTGCAGGCAGGATCATTTACTGAGTGGGGAATTAGGGAACTCTGTTCCCTCCCTTTTATTCACTAAGCATAGCAGTTAGCCCAGCTAGAATCCCTATGTAATTAATAATAATATACTTGGGATGATCTTTTTTAAACTGTTTTCTCACATTGCTCCTAGACCTTAGTGTCATTGCAGTAGCTACCTCAGTTTCCTCACAAGTTCCCTCAACATCTAGAAACAGCAGGTATCTTACAACTTCTCTAGACATTACAGTAGGAGAATAAGGGAAAAAGCTACTTCTCTCCATCCTGGGGCTGGCAGAGAAAATGCTGCCTGGTCTTGAACCTTTGACTAACTGCTCTGAATCTACTCTCTGCTGAGACCCAGTGCTGTGTGAGCTTGGAGTAGTAGCCTACTCCCATGAAATGTAGTAGTAGACTCCTCCATACAATAGAGTGGTTTTCTGAAGTAATCGATTTTTTTTTAAGTTGTTTCTTTGGTTGCTTTCAAGCTGAGGGACCGCATAGCTCACAGGATTGTAATCGGAATGCAGAATCCTCTAGTGCTAGGTCATATGCCCCCAAATCACTGCTGACTTCTTTTTTCTTGAAAAGACTAGTTTGTTAGTTGCTTGGTAACTGGAGGTTAGAAAGACTTAACTCTTTCAGCACAGAGAGCTCCTAGTTTGAACTGGATTGAGCTATCACATAATGAGATACAACTAAAGTTGGCATGTACAAAGGGTTTCTTGTTCTATGGTCTTCCTATTCCATGCACCATTGGTGCACAGAAGGTGCTGTCAGATACATACAAGTTAAGTATGTTGCCTGAGATTGAAATTAAAGTTTCTGAAATTTTTGAAATTGTATACAAAAATATGTTTGGAAGGGCTTTTGTTGGCCTTTTCTTTTATAAAGAATGACAGTAGCTTCCATCGTGACATTTCCAAAAGGCCCAGATCCACAGCTCTGGTAGAACTGGGAACCTCAGCTCTGATAGGACTGGGTGTTGACTATGGCACAGTAACAAGAAAGAACACTGTATTTAGAGCTAGGAGCCTGTGTAACTTTGGGCTAAGCCCTGTGGTCTGACTTTCAGTTCCTACACCCTTAAGTATGAGAATGTTGTACTGCTAAACTGCCCTTAGAATCAAATATGATGAAGCAATGAGAATTCTAAATTATAAGAGACTAAACTATGAGAGAAATAAGAAGATGGTTACTAAGACCTGATGTAGTCTCAACAATTATAAAGAATACAATTAGTTCAGTAACACTGACGCCCTTGGTTGGGACTGTGCTGACTGGGGACCAGGAGGGATGGAGAGATTGTCCCACAGAACTGGGTTAAAAATCCATGTACAGGAGCTGCTACATTCTTGATGAATCTGGCATTTGATGACAAAACACTTACGAATCATGTAGCCCACTGTCAGAACCACATGGGTGACAGCATCTCAATGTAAAGGATTGAGTTTCTGGAGACATTGTACTCATGCAAACTCTCCTTTCTCTTTGCTGGCTGATCTCCAGACCTGCCTTTTTTTTTTTTTTTTTTTTTTTAGAGAAAACGGGAAACTTC